GCCACGTCCGCAGACCCCCGCGCCCCCGCGCGCCGCACCGTGTCCCGAGCAGGGAGCCTGCCAATAACGGGGGGAAAAATGTCGATCGGGAAAAAAAACGGGTTATGAAGCTAATTAATGTGCAGGTCACGCAGTAACCCTGTGCTGGTGCTGCTGGGCGTTTCGCTAGTGCTTTATTCAGGAAGGACTCGGCGGGCAGCGTGGCCGGGGTGTGTACGGAGCGATCGGCTTCACCCGGAGAGCCGGGTCTGCGATGGCCCGAGACCCGCAGGGCTGCACCTGCGTCCCTGTAAAACCCACGGCATGTCACAGTAGGTTTTGTCCGCCTGGCTTCCTCTGCAGCCCACGGCATGTCATATCAAGTGCGGTATGTAGCGGTTCCCACAGGAGCCCTGTACTTGACAGTGCACTCTACATAGTGAGTTCCTCTAGCACCGCCGCAGTACCCACTGCCTTTCATCCTGGGTTTCTACACGTAGAGGGTTCCTGTAGAACCCCCCTGCTCTATATCCTATCACTACGCAATGCAGAAGCCCCTGCATGTAACAGTGGGGTCTGTACCTCGCAGGTTCCTATAGAGCCCGCCACGTTTAAAAACTCTTACAGAAATGAAGGGTGCATTCTGTTTTTCTTTTTTTTAAACAACCTCTTCATTATTATGTTGAACCATCGAACGCACAGCTAAAGAATGCGTATGGCTCGTTGAATGCAAATTAGTCTGACCGCGCAACTTAAACATTTCTGTGCAACCTGCGCTCTGCTCTGGACTCTCTGCTGGGCCAGATTGCACATACCTTTGTGATACTTGGTATCCAGACTCAGAAACTTGTACATAAAAAAATAATACAGGTGGAAGAAATGAACATTTCTGGAGATTTAGCTGCAGATTTAAATCCATGTTGAGAAAAATACAAATGGGAAAGCTTGTTATGCATTGGGTTTGTGTTGTTTCTCAGATAGGCACTTTATCGCCCTGCTCCAGGTTCCACTAGCCCTTCAGGCTTGTCTTTAGTTACTCCTGGTTCATTTCTAGACTCGACTGATAAAGAAGAGCTTGGAAGGAATGATGTACATGTACACCAGCTTTCCATGTCCATGTAGTGCCTTCCTCCAGTCACTTTTAATATGTTAATTCAGTAGAAAATACTTTTAAAAATGCTGTGCATCTAACTATATATGTGTGTGTGTGTGTCTGTACACACACAGACACACGCACACATGTAGGCATTACCTACATGAAAAATCCCTTTAACTCACCCTTCTGTGTAAGAAACAGGAGTGCACATTTGTTAAGACTGAGCTTTGCACCAAAAAATGATGGTGGTAATTTGTGTAAGGTTTCAAGCTTTCAAAGTAGTACAGTAACAAACTTGTTCCTTTTGAAGTTTAAATACTTAAACTGGAGCTGTCTGTCCCTTAACCCTGTTTCTAAACCAATTTGTAGAAGCGGCTTGAGATGGAAATGACTTTTTCCATCCATAGCTTGCATATATATTATAAAATAATAACAATATTAATATATCCATATACTTTAATATGGTGTGTATTATGATATCTTACATATGAACTAGGGTATGTATATAATTTCACAGCTAGTAAGAGTTTGTCTTTGAGCCAGCAATGCAGTTATTTAAATGTTGCATTTTTCTCCTAATCCAACTCTTGTCCACACACAAAACTACTGATGTTAAGTGATGCTTTAAGCTCATTAGTTAGCCTAGAAGAGCATTGTACTCGAAATGCTGCTGATGCTCAAGCTGGCAAGGCAGCAAAGAGGCAATAGTTGGAGTTGCAAAAAGCTGATCAGCTGGTGATGTGTCACTGTGCAACTGATCAAACTGTTCTTTGCCTTGGGTTTTGCAGTGGGCTAGTGGAGTTACTTGAGTATGTTAACTTGAGCTGCCTCTTGCAGTGAAGATAAGCCCCAAGTTTAGAGACAAGAAGCAACAACTTGGAGGCATTGATAAATGGGGGAGGAAACTGAGTAAAGAAAAGAGGAGTGAGGGCACACCTGACAGCATTATGTGCTTCCCTACCTTTGTAACAGACTGAGGCAGATCTGGAATATAAATTCTGCTCCCCTTAGTCATGTTAAGTAATTTCCTGGTGTCAGAGGAGGCCAAATGATCTACACTTGCATTTAAGCATGACCAAATTTAATGCGCATTAAGTGGTTTTTGGCAGGTGTCTACACATGCAGAGAATTGGCACTAAAGTTAGTGCAATTGGCATTAAGGTAAGTGCCAAGTCCCTGCAGACCTGCCACGTGCCCCTGGTGGCTGACCGTGCTGGGTTGCCCTTACACATGTGTTAATACACTTTAACAAATTGCACCAAAATCACCATTTTTAATGCATATTAAGGGCACGCACATGTAGATGCACACCTGTAAGGTGCATTAAATTAGGCTAATGTGCATTAACGCATCTTGTGTAGACTCAGTGAGGAAATAGCAGGGACAGAACCTAGCCTTAGAATTCTGTTGCGATATACGTCCTATATGCAGCATGACAAGAACCATGAGAAATATGTTGGGATGCAGCCCACAGAAGCAGTGCACTGATGTTATAGCCTAGTGGGGTAAAAAGTGTCTCTCTCAGAAGTAATATGAAATTTAAAATGCTGAAGTTAAGAGAAAAACCAATGAGTATAGCACAGTTAGCAACTGGAGGTATGTAGCTAAGCTATTCTGATAATCATCTTGTTGTCAAACTTTGTATTTACATGGTGACCGGACTTTTACTGCACCTGTTCCTTTTGGATTTTAACATGAAGAGCACTAAGATAATTGCACAGGATAATAAAATTACAACTGTTGTAGTGCAGCCTAGAACAGCAGTTCTCGACCTTTTCTGGACCAGGACCCATTTGTAAACATGGATGGCCAGTGCTGACCCAGTGTCCCTCACTCCTGACCCACTGCCCCTCCAGGCCCCAGCTTCCCCAGTATATGGGGGGGATGGGATGTGGGGCATCCGGGGCAGCCCCTCGCAGGCTGGAACTCTGCCAGCCTGCAAGGGAAAAGCCATGGTTTGGTTTCCCACATTTTTCTCCTTTAAAGGAGAATCCATTTTCTTGATCTATTTTTAAAGTTTGTTCGTGACCCTTTCATATATCCTAGTGACCTACGTTTGGGTCTCAAGCCACAGGTTGAGAAACACTGGCCTAGAATACTAGAGGCCCACTCTCTTAAGCTTCATATAACCATAAAACAAAAATCTGGTCCCTGAACAAAATAGCTTAAAATCCACAAGTTTAAGACAAGAGAATGCAGGTAAGTGTGACAAACACGGCTGAGGCAAAAGGTGACTTTGAGGGTAATCAAAATGAAACAAGTCCTCATAGCACCACTGCCAATGTGTTACCAGGTGTTTTATGAGCAGTGCAGCACAGGTGAGTTTAGGGGAGGATAATATAGCTGTCTTGCAGCATGTTTGCAGGAAGCTTCTCCGCAGATGGACAGCATTGGAGATAACGTAAGAGCATAAGTGCTCACACCCATCATCTATCTAGCCCAGTATTTTGTCTCCTTCAGTGGAAGAAGTGGGTGATATAGGAGGAGAGCATTGAACTTCATATCTCTAGAATGATCTATTCCCTATTCAATACCCTCCTTGGAATCCACCAATGCTGGAGGAAACATTTCCAACTGCTCAGTCCAATAACCACTACTAGGTAGCATGATCATAATGCTGTTGGGAAAATGGGACAGGAGTAGCATCCCAAAAAATTAACAAGTAAAAATTCCAGATTTCTGGTTGTCCTGCAAAACCTACACCTTTGAGATCCTTTATAAGCAGGGATCCTGGTTTTCTCCGATTAAAAAAAATCCCCAGTTTTTTGGCTTAAATCAGTAGCCCGAAATCCACACTTTTCCGTGATTAAAATTAAACACCACTAATATATAGATATATAGTGGTGTGTCATTTTAATCATGGAAAAATGTGGATTTTGGGTTACTTATTTTAAAACCGAAAATTGGGGATTTTTTTTATCAGAGAAAACCAGGATCCCTATTTATAAGAAAGCATCCAAAATATATATTTTTATCATTCTTAAAAAAACCCTTTTATTAGGATCATGCCAATGCCTGCCAGTTCTCACCAGGTTTGGAGACCCATGGAGCTGGGTTCTTTGGGTACAAAGCAGGAGACAGCTCCTGCCTCAAAATGCTCACAGTTGGAAGTAACAAACTGCCCAGAGGGTGGGTAATATTCCCATTGTACAGAGAGAGGAACTGAGGCTCATAGAGTAATTTGCACAAGGCCCCACAGAAAGCGTGGCAGGGTTGAGCATTGAACTTGCACATCCTTGGTCCCAGACCAGAGCGTTGAACTGGATTTAACCAAAAGATTATCTTTGTCCTATTATAAATGTCTTGGGCTGGAGCATGGACTTAAGATTCCAAACATTTGTCAGCCTGAACATGTGGTCATGTATCAATACACGGGTAAATATTTGTAATGCTTTTAAAACAAGATGGAAAGAGGCGCTATCTTCATGTTATAGGTGGGGAATGGGTGGCACAGAGCGCATTAGAGCTCTGGTTAGAATTTAGGCGCGCAGTTTCATCACTAGATTCAGCATCTGTAACTCTTCCTTCCTGCAGTGCCATGAGAGATAGCACAATCTGTTTGAATGAGTACAGGAGTGGTAGACCGTGGGTTCTGATCCTAGGGCTTTGAACTTCTTTGCATCCATTTCCTCATTTGTTTTTGGGGGATATTACTTTCCTACTTATCTAGTAAAAATAGGGGAGGATTATATGAGCGATGCATTAGATATGCAAAATTCCTTGTAAGTAATAAGTATTTTAGTGAATATAAACAGATCCCAACAGCTCATTTTATTCAGGCAATAGCTTCCATAAACAAAATTAGTCAGAGGCGAAAGCTTCCATTAGCTACTGCTGAGACAAAAGTATTAGCTTGGCTTCAAGGTGACTGGAAAGTATCCTGCCCACGTAGTCTAGGAGTATCCAGAAGGTGCGTGGAATCTAAATGAGACTTTTTAATTAAAACAAAACAAAGCTAAACAAAAAATCTTCTAACTATGAAACTGAATTTAAAAACAAAGCACTTAAATGCAGCCAATAAGCCTTTAAATCTTGGTGCACTGCTGCTTGTGTCACAAGTTTTATATCTTCCTAATTATTCTAATAGTTAAGACCATGAAATGGAGTGTGGCTGAGGTGGGACTCGAGGTAAAAAAATCATGAATATTACATGTGGCCTAGCCAATGTGGTAAATTATAATTATACCGAGTTATTAGACTTCCTTGTAGGAATGTATTGAACTAGTTTAGTAGACAGCTGAGAGCTGCTGATTGGGGATGAGGAGGAGGAAGGGGGAACAAGGAGGAAAGCAGAACTATGGTTTCAGCCAAGCAACCTCCAAACACTTGGGCCTATAAAGGCCAACGGTCTATCTGCGTGCTGCAGTGAGAACTTGCCAGTTCTGGGAGCGAACCGTCAATGGGCAGGAAGTGGTTAAAATGGTTTCGTCTCTGGACAGGGTGTGTGCATGCGTGGGGGTGGGGAGGAGAGTTATCAGCAGGGATCCTGGTTTTCTCTGATTTAAAAATATCCCCAATTTTCAATTTAAAAGAAGCAACCCCAGATCCACGCTTTTTCATAATTAAAATGAAACACCACTATATCTCTCTCTCTGCATCTTAGTGGTATCTCATTTAAATCACAGAAAAATGTGGATTTGGGGTTACTTTTTTAAAAGCAAAAATTAGGGATTATTTTTTAAATTAGAGAAAGCCAGGATCCCTGGTGATCAGAAATACTGAGAAGCTATTACTGAACCGTCTCCCTGAAGCTGAAGTAGGAGCACCGCTTTGTGAGTTCAGGGAACTGGGTGTACTGCCCTGACCTTACTCGTAGCATGGTATCTATAGACAGTTCACACTTGCCAGGATCTCTGTGTGGAAACCGCATAGTTACCTGGTAGGTTAGATGTGCATAGCATGTTCTTTATTTCAAGTTCTCTTGCTCTCTTAATTTTTTTTTACTTAGTCTGTCTGGTGACAGGTTGAAGGCAGGGTAGAGATGTATGGGAGATTAAATCAGAGATGCATACGCTTTTGTGAGCTCAAGTTTACTTCATCAGATGCTCAGACAGGACATGCACAAGCAGTCTATCAAACAGAGGGAGTGATTTTTAATACAAAAGACAGGGAGGGAAGGGAGGGAGGGAGAGGAGAGGGAAAAGCAGGGCAGTGGTGGGGGTGGCAAATAATAAACCCATAGGGATGAAGGGGTCACCAAAGCTAACCCAGGTAATGGGATAAGAATTCATTGCCCCTTTTCAGACTGTACTTAGTGCAATCCAGTCCGTGGATGATTTCTTGTTCCATAATTTCACATTCAAGTTCTTTTTTAAAGCTTTACTAAGAACATCTCCCCTGTGGTCAGCGATGGGATGTCCAGGGAGGTTAACGTTCAGCCACAAGCTTGTGCGTCTTCCTGGCACCGATGTCAGATTGGCACAGCTCGGTGACAGGTTACCATTGGCATTGCTCCCGGAGGGAACTGAATACAGGGCAGGCCTACTGAAATAATCATAGTTAACGCCAGGGCACTGCTGTACAAGGCATGGCCCAAGAGCGTGAAAACCATGTGATTCTACCCCAGGAAAGAACAGCTTGCTGCCAAAGACATGAGGAGAGGCTCAGTTGAAGAGACCAAGGGGTCAGAGATGCGGTTAACTTGGTAACATGGAGGTCTTGCTCTTTACCTATCCAGACACGAATTAAAAAAAGGAGAACTTTCATGAAACTAAAGCACACCTGTTTATACCTATTCACATAAAACAGTACAAAGGAGCAGGATCCATTGTGGAAAGAGTTTCTGAAGTCGCTTAGGTGCTGCAGAAAACTGTACCCTTTTTGCCCATTTTTTGCTGATGGGAAATCTAAGGCAGAGCGAAGTGACTTGACCCAGGTCACATGATACTTTTGTAGCCAAATGAAGAAGGAATTAGATACATATCTTCTGAATCTGTCCCCAGTCATTCTTTTCTCTGTATTGCCCAAGGGGGATAAGTTAAAAAATATATATTGGTATTAATTACTATGCTCTGAAAGGACAGAAGCCAGGGAGGTATGCAGCATTTTGCAGTCTGAATTACACATTATAGGGTGCCTTTGGTTTCTCTTATATCTCAAGTTATCCAGGACTCTGCAGCTCCCCAATAGGCTGTGTCAATACAACAGGATGCATGCCTTTCCTTCTTATCACTTGTTTGTAGCCTTGTTCAGGAAGCTGTTCCCTTGCATTTGAATCCTCCAGACAAATGTGTGCTGTAGATAAAGCATGCTGACACCCTTTCAAAAGAGTATTTTTTTCAAAATGAGCCTGTAGGAAGTAGACATAGCTGGACTCAAGTTCTGAGACTCTAGACTGAGCATTGAAAAAAGGCCACATGATTTAACTAGGTTACTTGAAGCAGTGTACAGAAGCTCAGCTGCATTCTCCGGCATGGGCAGTGATGACTTTTTTTTTGTTTGGGTTCAAAAAGGAACTAGGGAGATTCATGGATGATGGATCCATTAATAGGTATTATGCAGAACAGATAGGGACATGCCCCCTGGCATCTCTAAACCAATATGGTAGGTGCCAGGGGAGGTATGCCAGAGGATGGCTCACGCTAGATACGCCCTGTCTATATGGTCTCCCTTGAAAGCATCCACTCCCGCCACTGTCTGACTTCCTGTTTTTATACAGGTTCAGTCATTAAGATTTTCAGCTTTTTACCATCGTATGTAGTATCTGCTCTTAAGTGGTGTTTTGTGCTCTTGTTCTGTTTCAGCCCAAACAGGAAGACAAACTCTCGGTTTGCAGTAAATTATGCTATGCGATTGGGGGTGCTCCAAATCAAGTTGCAGGGAGTGCCACTGCTTTCTTCCTGCAGATCTACCTGTTAGATATAGCACACGTAAGTACCATGGGAAGCACTTTCTAATTGCAGACTGTTTGACTGGGATATTGTCACCTACTTAATTTCCCTGTATATAGGGAATAGAAATTAATTTAACATGCCTTTTACATGATATTTTTTACTATAGTTTTTAATTGCTCAGCACCTTTGAGGTTGAGGAGGCTGTTCCTTTATTCCTCTTATTTTGACAGTAAATTACTATAACTGGTTTTCTATGTTTACAAAAACATTAAAAAAGTTATAGGCACTGTAAACACATATGGCTCCACATAGCCCCTGCCTTAAAGAGCTGACAGAATGGGACAGCTTTAAGATTAAAAGCAATATTTCCGGAGCTTCTGTTAATTTATGTTTGGCCCAATGTATAATTAAGTGTCTTGAAATTAAGACCAATAATTGCCATGCTTTCATCTTGGTTTTGTTTGGTCCAACTAGAATACTTATCTGCAGAGGAAGTCCAGCTATCATTATGAAGCATCCTTCCTACCTGCTTCCAGCTTCCTAAATGCAGAGCCAGACCTAATAAATCAATGCAAGTTGGGAGTAGTCATACTCTTCAAAAGCCCCTCGAGCTTAGGTGGACAATAAGGTTTACTGTAGTGTGACTGGATGAGTAGAGGTGACAGAAACGTGTCCTTGTGATTAAACTGAAGGATGAATTTTTCCAGGTGCTTGGCCCATCCCAGCAGTTAGGGCTTTCAGAAGAACACCAAGTATCACAAGGCTTGAGAGAGAACAGCAGGATTTGCAACGCTGCTGCATGAGCCTGGAAAAGACAGCCAGATCCCAAATGTTTTGTGGGAAATGCAGTGGCAAAATCTGGGCGAGAGGAGAGAGGAAGGCAGGGACAAAGTTGTTGCTCTGAGTGATGGGGAACGTAGGGGAAGTAGTAGTGAATAAGAGAGATTCTTAGAGGGGGAGCCGAAGGCAGGTTTGATTGCACTCATCTCCTGCTTCCTTCCTGAGTAATGGTAAAAGCTCAGGGAGCATGCAATGCCCGGCCTAAGACTGGGACAGATTCCCAGACTAGATGGAGGCAAATAAGCCTTCTCCCAGTATTTTTATAAATATCAAAATCAAAGAAAAATTTTCTCCTGAAATTTGATGCTGACTCTGTGTCATGGGAATCTCACAGGGCTGAGTTACCTCTTCTTCTGCTTGGCTTCAGTAACACCTCCTGCTGCTAGTAATTCATGGGTCATTAGTCCCTTTAGACTACATACACATACAGAGAGGACTCTTTCCTCCCCATCACTGGGATTTGCATGGTGCCCTCATTCCCCTCACCATGTTCCTTGGAGAAAGAAGCTGTGAATCAGCAAAGCAGCTGCAGCAATAGTTGGAGCAGAGCCGTGGGACACTGATGTCGCCTCTTTTACCTACACTTGTAAACAGATGTTCCCTCCCCTGAACTGGTTTGCTTAAGCGTTTTCCTCTCCACCCTCTCATCCTCCGTCCCCAGTTCTTTTCACTTTTTCTCATTCCATACCTGCCTTCCTTCCTCCCTTCCCCCTGCTCTCTGATGTATTCCCCCCCACCCTTCTCTGTCTTTATCAGAAAGACAAAAAAGATACACGACCCTCACTCTGTTTTTTAACTTCCCTTCTTTTATAACAGCAACTGAATGATCCCATAGATTTTTCCAGCTGCAAAGGTTGTTTGTCACAAAGATGTAGTTTTGGGGAAAACAGATGATAGGCATTTTACAGTGTCTCCTCTTAGTCCCCTAGTAAAGGACTAAGGCTGGGCCTGTGTCATTCCAACAGACCCAGGCCCTGCCTTTTCCCAGCCAGTGTCTTGTGAGTTCCTTCGCTCTGCGGATAATTTGTAGAAATTACACCATTGCACATAGTGAACTACAATGCATGCTTGTTAAATTAGTCTTAAAAATGCTTGCTTGTTACATTTGTGTTAGGTTTTCCCCTTTGATTATTTTTTTAATGTGTGGAAACTTTAAATGTGCTCTCTTTTTTCCTTGGCACCTGCTGTTTTTAAGAGTTAGAACACACATCATTTACTTGTCACCTTAACTGCAGTTATTAATTGCATTAGTCACTAGGGCTGTGCAAGGCTTCAGTCCCTGATTCAATTCGGCAGAGATTTGGCCCGATTCAGTGGCAGAATCTCTGAATCCAAATCAAATCACGAGACCCTCTAATCTCTCCAAATCGAATCAGTACCCTCCAAATCCATTTGGGAAGAGTCGGTGATTCAGACATAGACACAGCTTTAAACGTTTTTTCTACATACCTCAAGGTAGCAGGTAGTTTGTGACTGCTGCGATGCTGGGGTGCATGGAGCATGCCACAGGAGCAAGGGGGGCCCCCCAGCATGCTTGGCAGCAGACCCAGAAATGGAGCAGAAGCACTTCTGGTCCACATCTGAGTCCACTGGGGGACACACAGGGAGCACCCCCCTGAACTCCCACGAGCCTCCTTGGCTTGGTGACTGGTGCCTCCTGGGTCTGGGGTTCACCTGGAGTGCCCCTGAGTTGGGGAGGTGCGAGGGGAGGGCCCCAGTGTGCTCCCTGACGGACCCAGAAGTGAACTGGAAATACTTTCGGGTTCACCACCAAGCACATGGGAGGCTCCCTGCGCTTCTGTGGGATGCTCCATCTGCCCCACCATCGTAGCATTCACAAGCCGTGCTGGTATCTCGACTTATGTAGGAAATGCATTTAAAGCTGTGTCTATGTCCGAATCGCTGATTCTCCAAATTGTCATCGAATCCTCAGCTTCGGACTCAGCTGAATTGAATCCGGGACAGGGATCTGAATCAACGAATCAAATCACTGTCCCCAATTCAGGCCGAATCTGAATCCAAATTGAACAGGGCCCGCTTCGCACACCCCTGTTAGTCACAGGTCAGTTCTGTATGGAAATAGGTCTACTCCACTGTAGCCACATTTACAAATAGCATCCATTGAAATCCTCCTTGGTAATGTCAGTTGAGAGAGTCAGGGCTGAGTGGATTTGGAATATGAGCAGTACTCTTACCTGGTCTAGGTCATGCTAGAGCTTTAAAATGGGGCTATGTCGGGGCAGCTTATAAAGAAAGCAACCTGGTTTTTCTTGGTTCCTTTACTAAACCAAGGGCTTCAGTCTTCAGGGCTGCCTGTCTGGCACTCTTCCCCAGCACTAAATTCATCTATAGCCTCTCTCTCCGCATGTTTCCTCCTCATGCAAACCCTTTCTTGTTGGTCTTTCTCAGTATCTGGATATGGTCAATGGAGAGCAATTTATCCGCTCACTTATGATAGTAGGCAACCTGTTTTGTAAGTGAACCATCATTAGTCTTTAAATAAAGCACTGAGATTCATTCTGGAATGTTGCTTTATGCTGTTTCATTGTACTGCTGAACAATAGCCCTTGTTTAGAGCATTGTGCCTCTATTTTCAGATTACTCCATTTTATGTCTCTCTGGTGCTGTTCATTGGCAAGGTCGGGGGTGCAATTACTGATCCTGTGGCTGGCTTTTTTATTAGCAAAAGTAAAAAGACAAAAATTGGCCAACTCATGCCTTGGTAAGCAGATTTTGTTTTTCTAAAGATTTCTTGTTTTAATCTTAGAATGGTACAATTGAGTTAAACTTCTGTTTTTCCTTGTCTTTCTGTTTCCTAAATAAAATTATTATAGTATAAGTAGAATGAGTGTACTGGGGAAAAGAGCACTCCTTTTGAATTCATGTTTTAGGCTGAGTGTCCATAAACTTCGGCATGGGGTTTTCTGTCTGTTGATATTTCCCCGAAGAAACTATAGGATTGGTAATTTGGTAATAGGCCAAAACTGGAACCTCAGCATGAAAACTCTGTTGCATTCAGGGTGGAGGTCAAATTAAACTTCCAAAAATGTACTCTGATGACCAACCCAAGCTTCTCACCCTTTTCTAGTCTTATTGTGGGCAGTGTAGGATCTCTCTGCAGGAGTGTGACCCACTGTCCACTTGCACTCAGCCCAGTACAGCATACGTCACCTCAGTGTTTTCTTCTTTGTATCTTTTCCTTAAGTCTCTGGTTTCAGCCCCTTTAGTTAAAAATGTTCAGTTAACAGGAGAAAAAAACCCACCAATGGCTGGAAGGGTTTTGCATTCCCAGCATTGTCATTATGTACAGCCTCTCATTCCCCTTCCTCACACTGCCTGTTGAACAGTGAAATGTGATTTAATTGCATCACCAGCATGCCCTGGGGCTCTTGTCCCACTCTGTCTTGGCGGGTGATGGAGCCCTGAGAAAGACAGCATGCCTCATTCGACTTTGGCTTTCACTGACTCTAGCCATAACAAAGAGAAGAAAGTATCAGTTGCCACTACACCGATGATGTGGCATGAAGAAGACAGAGGTGTTACTACAGGGCACTGAACATAGGAATAGGCCTTGTCAGCAAAGGGAGGAGATTGACAGGTGAGGAGTATGAACCTCAGAGAGATGATGCATGGTAGAGGAATGCAAAGGATATTTCTACACCGTGGTGGCAGTCTGCCCTGGCTGGGATATTTTCCAACTTGCATTACCTGCCTGCTCCTTCTCACGGCTTCCAAACCCACAAATACATTGATTAAGCTGCTGTTGGAATGCCTCCAACAACCATTCTCAATCATGGGAAGGTTAGATTTGGGAATATTCTGCCGCGGGCATACTGTCACCACGGTGTACACGTAACCAAGCTGTCCTATGGTGGGAAGAGTTTGTGTGTTTTTGCTATCGCTGTAAAGAGAAATGGAGACCAGTTGTTTTATGGGGTAAGGACCCCTTCACCTCTGTCATAGCTTCAGTCTCATAGGTTGAAAGAAACTACAGCCAGACTATTACCATTGGTAAGCGCCATTTAGTTTCTTGGATACATTTCCAAACCAACCTTGCAGCTGGAACTGCCTGGCAGACTTCTTGCCAGAAAGGGCAGGAGTGTGATTGTCATGGAAAATAAAGCCCTTTAACAGATCTAGTTGTCTTACTATGGTCTGCAGATGACCTTTGGTCTGCAAAACCTTTCTTGTGGTGCACTTATAACTGATGCATAATAAAGCTGAGAAGACAGTGCTGTTTAATATAGGACTTTTCCTGGATAGTAAATTTGTTGTGTGAAAAGGATAAACTAGAAGGAAAGCATGGCAGGGTGGGGTACATTTTTATACTAAATTGTGAGCTGTATTGTCATTTTATTTTTCACTTATCTTTCAGTTCTGTCACACCCTGAAAATATTGCATGTTAGGACAAAGATTAGTGGGAAAATGACTTGCAGCCTAGCATTACATAGACTTATCAGCTCTTTGCATACAAACCAGCTAGTGCACAACTTGCACTTGCTAGAGAAATGGCACTTATCAGGCCTTGACAAATGTCTTTTAAACTGCTCTTTTTCTGTAAGACTTTTGTGTTTTTTAAGTGGTTGTTTTAACATGGAGGGCACTCATCCTATAATTTACAGGCCAGGTCCTCAGCTAGTATAAGTTAGCTACACACCATTATACCAATTAAAGACGCAATCAATGTCTGATTGGCTTAAAACAATGCTTTGCTGATTGATTAATATTTATGTTTTGAAATTACTTCAGGCATTTAGGTTTTAAAAGCGAACCAGACAATTATGCACACTTAACTCCAGCCCCATTAGTCAGGTGTATTATGTGAAGGAAGAAAAGCTTCAAAAATAAGTTTAAGAAGCTATTTAATGTAGCAATAAGGAACGAGTAGATTGTGGCAGAAGAGACACTAACATGAAATAAAACACATTAGTTTCCTCAAAGGAGCTTTCCATGTGATTTAGCAAGCACTTAAACACATGTCTAATTTTCACCACATGCATATTCCCATTGAAGTTAAGGGGAAAGGGAAGAACAGGGAAGAAAAATCAAAGAAAGAAAAAAAAGACAGTTATTTTTTAAAGTTGCCTCAGTCTTCTGTAAGCAAACTTTTGAGTCCTCTTTTCCTTATGGCGGTTGCTGAACAAAACTGAGAAGTGCTCAAACTTATGGAAAAGGTGTGTGGATTTAGGATGCTTTTGGCCACATGCTGGTTTGCTTCTCCAGCTGTCAAGTAAGAGTATGAATAGGTATTTTTTTTGAGCGTGGACATCGCTGAGAATTTCCACGACTAGAAATCTTTCTAGGGCAGGGAGCAGTATGGGTATTCAGGCTGCAGTCACCCCTCTCACTGGCTCCCTGCACCTCCCCACACTGGGGTGATCGATCCCAGGAGCGCTGTCATGGATGGGTACAAACTGTTCAGGAAGGACAAGCAGGGGAGAAGAGAAGGAGGAGTTGCATTTTATGTAAAAGAGCCATATGATTGCTCAGAGCTCCAGTATGAAGCTGGAGACGGGTCTGTTGAGAGTCTCTGGGGTAGAGTCAGAGGGGAGGGCAACAAGGGTGATGTGCTGGGGGTCTGCTATAGACCACCAGACTAGGAGGAAGTGGTGGATGAGGCTTTCTTCAGACAGCTAGAGGAAGTTTCCAGATCACAGGCCCTGGTTCTCATGGGGGACTTCAATCACCCTGACATCTGTCGGGAGAGCAATACAGCAGTGCACAGGCAATCCAGAAAGTTTTTAGAGAGTCTTGGGGACAATGTCCGGGTGCAAGTCCTGGAGCAGCCAACTAGGGGCTGTGCTCTGCTTGACCTCTGCTCACAAATGGAAGAGTTGGTGGGGGATGTAGAAGTGGATGGCAATTTGGGCAGCAGTGAGCACAAGATGATTGAGTTCAGGACCTTGGAAAGGAAGGATGGAGAGCAGCAGAATAAGGACCCTGGACTTCAGAAAAGCAGACTTTGACTTGCTGAGGGAACTCCTGGGCAGGTTCCCCTGGGAGGCCAGTCTGATGGGGAGAGGAGTCCAGGGGAGTTGGCTGTACTTGAAGGAAACCTTACTGAGAGTGCAGGAACAAACCATCCAGATGTGCAGAAAGACAGGCAAGTATGGAACAAGACCAGCTTGGCTTAGCAGGGAACTCTCCAGTAAACTAAATCCCAAAAAGGAAGCTTATATGACAGGGGTTTTCAACCTTTTTTAGTCTAAGTATCCCCAGCAGCCAGACGCTGAGCAGGGGTGGGGGTGTTGTGTGGCCAGATGCCGGGGGGGTGGCGCGTGGCTGGACGCCAAGGGGGAAAGGGGGTGGCGGGCAGCCGGACACCGAGTGGGGGAAGGGCAAAAGGTAGCGCATGGCTGGACATGGAGCAGGGAGGCGGGGAGAGCACATGGGCGGGTGTGGAGGGAGCACTGCCACGTCCTAGGAGCAGGGCCGGCTGGTGTGTGGCAGTGGCGGCCTCCGCATGCAAGCTTCCCCACCCTGCAGAGGGGCACCTCGCCCCAGCCCTGTTCCTGGGAAGCGTCCCCGCCCACCTGCACATACCCCTGAGGACCGGTCCACATACTCCCAGGGATATGTGTACCCCCTGGCTGACAACCCTTGTTATAAGAAGTGGAAACTTGGACAAATAACTAGGGAAGAGTATAGGAGTATTGCTTGGGCGTGCAGGGATGAAGTCAGGAAGGCCAAAATGCGGTTGGAGTTATAGCTAACGAGGGATGTGAAGGGTAACACGAAGGGTTTCTTACAAGTATGTCAGTAGCAAGAGGAAGATCAGGGAAAGTGTGGGTCCCTTACCGACTGGGGGAGGCAAACCTAGTGCCAGAGGATTCAGAAAAGGCTGAAGTGCTCAATGCCTTTTTCACCTCAGTCTTCACAAGCAAGGTCAGCTCCCAGACTACTGCACCTGGCAGCACAGTTTGGGGAGGAGGTGAGCAGCCAACAGTGGTGAAAGAACAGGTTAGGGACTATTTAGAAAAGCTGGACATATACAAGTCTGTGGGGCCAGATGGGATGCACCTGAGGGTGCTGAGGGAGCTGGCTGATGTGTTTGCAGAGCCACTGGCCATCATCTTTGAAAATTTATGGCAATCAGGAGAGGTCCTGGATGATTGGAAAAGGGCAAGTATAGTGCCCATCATGAACAACTGGTGCCTCCCAAGACTGGAGGGGGGGAGCACCATCGCAGCGAGTGGAGACCACCCACAGCCGCCAGGATAGGTGGTGGCAAGCAGAGACTGCCCATAGCTGCCAGTAGTGTCAGCAGCAAGGGGGAAGTGGGATGGCAAGCGGGGAGCGCCTGCAGACACCACTGGCTGCGTCGTCAGCGAGGGGGAGAAGGCAGGTGCGAGTGGCAAGTGGTGGCGGTGTGGGTGCAGCCACTGGCAGCTTCAGCAGTGGCCAATTTCAGGGGGGGCACGTGCCCCTCTTGCCCCCCCCCATGCATTGCCTATGTTACCCATATTTAAGAAAGGGAAAAAGGAGGGTCCAGGGAACTACAGACCAGTCAGCTTCACCTTGGTTGCTGGAAAAATCATGGAGCAGATCCTCAAGGAATCCATTTCTAAGCATTTAGAGGAGAAGGTGATTAGGGACAGTCACCATGGATTCACCAAGGACAAGTCATACTTGACCAAACTGATTGCCTTCTTTGATGACATGACTGAACTTGTGGATCTGGGGAGACCAGTGGATGTGGTATACTTTGATTTTACCAACGG